AGTGGTCAGGAAAATGATCCAAGGTGGTGCGTGCGACGTTAATGCCACGGGCAAGAATGGTATTACGGCCCTCCACTGCGCTGCTTTCAGTGGGAAAATGGCCGTAGTGAGCGAACTGTTAAATGCAGGGGCAGATCTTCAGGCTCTGACGGATCAAGGCGCCTCGGTCTTGCACTGCGCATGCCTCGCTGGTCGAATCGTCACGGCGTGGACGTTGGTGAAACGGCATCGTGCAGACACAGAGGCTTGCGACAGGGCTGGCTTCTCGCCCGAAGACTACGCAAAGCTCCGTGGTCACCATCATATAGTGAGAAGCATCTACAAGACTTCTAGTAACTCGAACCAACGTCGCTCAGAGCAGGAGGACATGGTGGGTGCAGCCAAGTACGAGGTCCTCCCCCCTTCATAAAACAGTCAGGAAAGCACTAGTTAACTAAACAATGAAGTCATGTTCTATATATCACTCTATTTAAAACGATTCTCTTCTATTGCTTATAATCAATAAGCTTAATCGATATACCAGATGGTGTAGTTCTCTAGGGATAAACTCGCCCTCAAGCTCTAAATATACAGCATCCCTATTCTTTCCAAACCATTAAAAATACGTAATTAAATACAAATCTTTCGAAATCACTAAAATGTGAAAGTAAATTTGCATATGTTCAGCAACCTTCCCCATCCATGAACCAAGTCATTACAACATAAGCCTACATGCAGTTTGAGGTTTATAATCCTTAAAGTTAATTTTCAGTTCCATATCATCTTATAGGCCGTTAGTAAGGAACTCTACGGAAGAATTTTGGAAGTCCAAGAGAAGGTAGCCCGTGGTCCCCTGGAGAAGCTGAGGCTCTTGTTGGAGTGCGGCGCCTGTGACCCGAACCTTCGGGACGAGCAGGGCAAGACGTTGCTCCACCTGGCCACAGACAAGGACAATCTTGAGATAATCGAGCTTTTGGTTCAACAAAACTCACTACCCACAGCCCGCACACACAATTTCCTAACGGCTAAATCCATCGCAGAGTGGGAGGAACTTCAAGATATAGTTTTTTTTTTGTCAAAATACGAAATACCAGATAATATGGTAATTATGATATCTGTATTCCTTTAAAACTTTATAATTTGAAATGCAATTTCTCTCATATTTTGCTTTATAAAGGCTGTTGTGTCCATAGGTTAATGCAAATTAAAAATTATCCTTTCAGAGCACCCGACAGAAGTGTCTGCTAAACACAAAGTTATTAACACATATCACTGTAACTCTCAACTGGCAAGACACACAGGAGGAGATGGTCTTTGAAGCAGTAAAGCATTGCATATCACTTCTGCTGTCTGGAGCCCCTCTGGAGCCCCTCTGTTGTCACAGTGTCAGCGCCGTCAACCTTGCCGTAACCACTAACTGTACACCTCTTTTGCCTCTTCTGTTGGCCACTGGTACCTCACTCACGTCCTCAGTCGGCAGTGTTCCGTTGGTCCAGCTTGCTTGGAGTTCGGAGGGCATCACACCCTGGGTCAAAGTGGTCGTCACCGAGGTAATGTGTATTCCAACCTTATCATAAGAGTCCTAGGTACTTTATGTTAAACATTGAAAGTAATACAGAGAACTTCTAGTAAGGCCTAGTTTGTGTAAAAAAATAAATAAGCCAGGACTAGAACCCATCCATTGAAAGCTTTCCTGGCGCCCAAGAGAGTGCGATGCCACTATACTTCAACAGCCAATTGGTAGATTCACTTTCTTACGGAACAAAAATATTTTCAGACTGTTGTAAATCAGCTAAAGACAGAGATAGACTATGTATCATCGGAAGTCTTGGACAACATCCTGCAGAAATCTATAGAAGAATTAGTTGTGCTGTTGCAAGGCGATCAGCCCTGGAAGGCAAAACTGCCAGACCTCCCCTTAGCTGACCAAGACATGCTGGATGCCCTGTTGTGCCAGGCTTGTAAGAGAGGTGCCACGATGGCGGCTTGGTGGGTATGGCAGCGAGGTGGCACTATGATCCCATTGTCCACTTCAAGTGTTACACCCTTGCATGTTGCTGTTAGGGCTCAGAAGTGGAATACTGTAGAGGCCCTCGTCAGACACATGGGGGCAAATCTTTTTCTACCAGAAAATGGTTCTACTGCCTTGGAGACCATCCCCGCCAAACTTGGGAAATCACTTTTAGAGGTAAGTAATTTGCAACAAATATCTGAAAGTCAGTGATGAAGTTATGTGTACATCTTTGGTATAATGATTTAATTAATATGGAAGCCATTCCTCCTTTTAACTTGAAGAGGAGGATTTGGTGTCCAGTGAATGGTTCTTTTTACTGGGCCATGTCGTTATTTTTCAAACCTACCCTTCTATTTAGAAATGAGAACGTTATTGTCTAACTGAGCAACTGATGACAGAGAGTGATTGTTTGTTTATTTTTTATCTATTTATTTTATCCCTTTTTTTTTGGGGGGGGGGGGGGGTGCTACTCCTACAAGATAATTTATACAAGGGATGAAAATACTC